CCTGATAGGCCCCCCCACCCTAATCAGGGGCAGGGCCTGCCAGCCACTTGCCCTTGGCCCATCCCCCGAGCCGGCCCAGCCCTGACCGGGCCCCAATCGGGGCAGGCCAGCCAGCCGGCCAACCTCCCGTCATCTCCTCCTCCCAACAGGCCCAGCCCCAATCTGCCCCAATTGGGGCCAGGCCAGCCGGACCCCACCCGTGCATGAATTCATGCACTGGGCCACTAGTTCATAGCTAAGGGGAGAAAGGATAAATCTTTTAAAAACAAAAACAAAACAATAAATGATACTAGAAAAAGTTGGATCCTACATGAAAAATAATAAAACTTTTTTGAAATTTAAAATAAACTGGACCCCTTTCTAGCACCATATAAGCAAACAAAAAAGTCAACTCCAGACAGATTATAAATCTGTGCAAGGAGTAAAAACCGTAAGACTTTTAGAAGAAAATACTGGAGAATACCTTAACTTCAGGGTAAGGAAAGAGTTCTTAAACAATAATAGCATACACTCAAAGGAAAGACATAAATGTTAAACCAAAATTTATCTCCAGCACTAAAGAAAGTGAAAAGATAAGCCACAATTGATATCTGCAACATATGTAACATGTAATGATTAGTATCTAGTCTACATGTAACATATTCCCACAAATAAATAAAAGACAATTCAACAGGAAAAAAATTTTAAAGCCATTTCACAAAAAAGGAAAATCCAAATGGCCAATAAACATAAAAGATGCTCAACATCATTAGTAACCATGGAAATGCAAATTAAAACCACACTGAGATACCATCTCCACCACTAGATTGTCAAAAGTCAGACGTCTGGCCATATCAAGTAACAGCAAGAGTTGAAAACAACTACCCGCATCCATTACTGGTGGGAGTGAATGACACATGCATTTGGGAAGAGTCTGGCATTATCTATTAAAGTTTGACTATGTACATATCCATGACCCAATAATTCAACTCCCAGTTACACATCCTAAAATAAGTCTTGCACATGTGCACCAGAAACCATGTTCAAAATATTCATAGCAGCAGTCTTCATTCATACAAGGAAAGTCCTGGAAAACCTCAACTCTATAAATAATAAAATGGATAAATTGTGGCAAACTCATGCAACAAGGAACCAGAAAAATGGATAAATCATGGATTTGCTTAGGAAAAGAAGCAAAGACCAGAAAAATTTTATATCCATCAACATGGATAAATCATGGATTTGCTTAGGAAAAGAAGCAAATCTCAGAACATCAAAAGTTTAAGTCCAATAAATAAGGTCTAAAACAGGGCAAAACTAAACAACCAATTGTTTGGAGATATACTTAACAGATGATAAATTTACTAATAAAGCAATGGAATGACACACAGAAACCAGGATAAAATTTTCTTTTTAGGATGTGACTGAAAGAGGGACACACGAGAATTTCTAAGGTCTTGACAACATCATATTGCTTATGCTGGGTGGTGGACATATTAATGGCAATATTATTATTATTTAAACTATAGGTTTCATAAATCTTATATATGTATATTTCATAATAAAACCAATTTGGGAAGAGAGGAGAATGAGTTTTAGATTGAAGTTAGGAGGTGAAGAATCTCAAGTCTGGCTAGGAAGGCAAGAAGAAAAATCCGACAATAGCTAACATGGATACATGGGGTGATTAGACCTGAGCATATTTAAATGTCAATGGCAAGGCACCAATGAGACTGCAGAGGTAGAAAACATAGGAGAATGAGGAAATAGTTTATGAAATGAGATTTCTAAGAAGGTGGGTAGGCTAAAATTCAGAGCACATGTGAACAGAAGATATTCTTTCACTTTAAACTTGAGGAAACAAAGCAAGAACCAAGGGCTTACATGCTCATCTCCCCCAACAATCTGCATTTCCCTAGCGTTACTAGCACCTAGAACAGTGCTAATGGGCATGGGAGAGAAAAGAGGCTAAGGACTGCTCTGGGTAGGTTCAGAAAGTACAGAATGGATTACCTGAGAAGAGTACATTTTTAATACTTAACAAATATTCCAATCACCTATTAGCTAACTTCGCAAATATACAAATCACCTATTACAGTGGTCGGCAAACTGCGGCCCTTTGAGTGTGGCTCTTCCACAAAATACCACGTGCAGGCGCGCAGGTACAGTGCAATTGAAACTTCGTGGCCACACTCAAGGGGCCAAAGAGCCGCATGTGGCTCGCGAGCCGCAGTTTGCTGACCACTGACCTATTAGAAAAGTCTACATTAACATTTCCTTCTTTAGCAGATAAATGCAAAAACAATATATTAAAATCCAATTTATACTTTTTTGATGCATACCGAATATTGATATCATTAGCAATCTTTTAAAAGCTAATTTCCTGAAATCAAGTCTTACCTCACTTGTAAAAAAATTAACTTCTACTTACTTAATTGAATTTCTAAAGTGGTCTTCCGCTGGGTTTTTTACAGTGCAACTATTCAGGAGCCATAAATCTGCGTCTGATGCATTTTCTGTTAAAAAAAAAAAAAGAAAGAAAGAAAGAAAAGTGTCACATTAATCGGTCAGAAATATCCAAGTGCTTATTTAAATAGCACTGGAACTGGTGGTGGAGAGCAGAGAGAGGTAGAGAAGAAAGGCAAGTAAACAGGCAATTACAATACAGTAGGTAACTGCTGTAATGTGGAAATATTCATGAGAAATAGATATTTTAAATGTATAAGCTCTGCTATTATCTTTTCATTTAAAATATCAAGAGGATCAACATTTGCTTCCTGTATTTTCAATACTTGAGAGTATTTAATAACTTCCAAAAACTAAAGTAAAACTGTCTTAAACTTGCCTCTGAATAGAAAATTGCCCCTTTGGGACTGCACGGTAATATTTTTCAAGCACATGTATTATCATACACTGAATATTCTTCAGTTTGAGAAGTTATTAAAAATATAATTTGTCCTCCTTGTAAACGTTAAAGACTAACCTTAAACTGAGGCTTTTATTCCTCTCAACAATTTGATTAGATATTGTTACATACTATAATAAACTCACCAGCAGTGCAACAAATCACCCAAACCCATTGTGTTTATAGACATGAATTTACAAATGCCTCAAGAGCTTGACGCTATTCCAATTACCTTGCTGCCTAAAAGGACTTACACTTTAAAATAGGATTACCACAATGAAAGGAAAAGCAAAATTGAAAACTGCAGTACCTTCAATGGTATTTTAGTAAGAACCAAAGCTGAGGTCAGAAAACATGAAGAACTAAGAGGACTAAGGGATACCTGTATGTACAACCTCCATGCTAGAAGGGGGCTTCACGTGCAAACATTACATGAGAGGGTGGGGGGCACATCAAAGCTTTAGTAACTTGGCAAAAACTTTTCACCCAAAATTTTATTATAAAAAATGATAAAATGTTTCTATAAGGATCCAAAAATTCTTGAAATGCTAAAAAGGCAAGGGAAGTTCCTTATTACTATACTCATCTCACTCCTCTTATTCATCCCCGCCTCGCATCACCACCACAGTGTATGTCCCACTCAACAGTAGAGTGACCTTTCATAAAACATAAATTTGATTATGTCACTTTCCTGCTTAAACTTGGAAATGATGGGCATTCACCTACCTCCTCTAGTTCCCTCCAAATGATTCCCCACAATGCCATCTGAAAGATACTCCTCTAATATCAATCTGACTGTAGCACTCTTGAAATCTTCCAATGATTTCACGGTGATATTCAAGGCCTATCCAGATCTTCAACTTCAATATTCATTTCTCCCTAAATTCATCCGTCTCTCCAGCCACACCAAACCACCTGAAATTCCTAAACCTTGTGCTATGCCATCTGCCTAGAATACCTTTATTTTCTTCAGAATGGCAACTCAGATAGCCCTTCACCTGCCCATCCAGCTTCAGTTTCAGCTAAAGGTTTCTTAGATGCCTCTTCTCTGCATTCCCACAGTAGACTGCATAAAGCATTCTGGCACTTCATAATTGCGTATTAAAATAACTCATTTTTCCAGCCTGTACTTATTACTAGTTAAGAAATACTGAAGACAACATTTTTATCTGAATGTCCAGGACCTAACACAGTAATGGCACAGAACAGACATTCGAGTAACCATGGAACACTAAACAGTATACAAGTAGGTTCAAGAAGAAAGATGACAGAGGCATAATGCGTGAGATTACATACCAACCTTCTAAAGCTCTGAGGTCATGCTAATTTTTTGAAATGAGCTTCAAGTAAGTCACCAATTTATTTAACAACAATTTAGAGCTGACACTTTATCATACTCATAGCTATATCCCCAGCACTTATGACAGTGCCTGGTACATAGTGGGTACTCATTAATTTACTAAATGAATGTGGAGTTTTGAAAGACAAAGCAAAACTATGAGCAATGTATTATATCTGTTAGCTCATGGCAAAAATATAAAGACTGTGGATTTATTTAAAACAAATAGCCCGGCCAGCATGGCTCAGGGTTGAGCATTGATCTATGAACCAGGAGGGCATGGTTCAATTCCTGGTCAGGGCACATGCCCGGGTTGCAGACTTGATCCCCAGTGTGGGGCATGCAGAAGGAAGCAGATCAATGATTATCTCTCATCATCGATGTTTCTATCTCTCTCTCCCTCTCTCTTCCTCTCTGAAATCAATAAAAACATATAAAACAAACAAACAAAAACCTAAAGGCAGAACTACTTGTGCCAGATGTCAGGTTGGTATCCTGGTACATTCTTCTATTCAGTCACCGTAAAGCCACCAGATAACTCAACAAAAGCTGCTCAAGGAGAACTTCAGCAATATATAAGGCAAATCATTCCACTTGGTCTGGAATTCTGTCAATGTTGGGATGTGCTGACTTTCAAAATAAAGTGAATACTATGCTGGTGACCCAGTAGTTACAATCAACAGAAAACCTGTGAATATACCAAAATGCCCACAAAATTACCTAACTGAATAGTAACTATCCCACAAAAGAGAAGTCTCTCCTCCAATAAACACAGTTTCTTATCCAATTACTTCTTAACTCAGTTTTGTGTTAATGTATCTTACTTATTATTGTCAGAAGATTGTTCTACTTACAAGCATAAAACAGTCAGTCAACAACCACAACACAATGAAGATCCACTGTGTGTCAGGCTATGTTCTAAGTTATGGGGATAGAGCTGTGGCAAGAGTTTCTACCCTCAAGGAGTTTACAGTCTTAAGGAGGAAGTGTGATAAAAAACAAAAATAGGGAAACAAGCTAATTTCAGTCAATGATATTAGCACAATAAAAGAGGGTAATGGACAAAGAATAACCGGGGATGGGGAGTGTTGCTAGTCAAAATAAGTCTCCCTCAGAAGTTCAAATCTGAACTGGGACTTACATAATGGAAAAGAATCTGCAAAGATCAGAAGAGCTTTCTGAGAGATACCACAAAAGCAAAGGCCTAGAAAGAGGACCAAGCTTGCCATGTTCTAGTGACAGAGAGACAAACGGAGTGACTGGACATAGGGAAAACAGGAGGAGAAAGGTCAGGGATCTAAGATGCCATTTACTATAAAAAACACTTTCAACTCAGTAACAGCTCCTCAAGAGGAGTGGGACTTTACATTCATGTTCTTATCAATTTTAAGATATCCCAACCTCAAACATTAACATGAGAGGGAGGATGGGAATGAAATGAAGCTGAAACAGAAGAAATAAGTGAACTTAGCATGTCGTCTTGGAGTAGCACCATCTAAAACAAACAAGAAATATGCAAAAACCTGTCTTTCCAGAACCTCATCACCCAATATACTACCACTAGTAGATGAATAGGTTACTGATTTAAATATCTGAGAAGAGAAGGTTAACATCTTATGGTCTTGTCTTAATCAGAGCGTTCATGGCAGGTTCTCCAGTGTTCAGGAGGAAGAAACAATATTACAGAAGAGCCCTTAGGGAAAGAAGGATGAGGTAGATGGGCAAGAATGGGCCAAGGAAGGAAAAGACAGTAAGAAGGCACCACACTCAGAGACACAGACTTGAAAAGGACCCAAAAAAGGCTTTGACCTACTTTGAGATTTGACCTATAGCACTACTGTTAATTCCCGATATGGAACTGAAAGTCATCTGCACATTAGCCAAATATTGCCAATGCCTGAGCTGGAATATCAGGACTGGTTTGGAAGGCTACACACTTTAGGCTAGCCAGATGGAATCTAGACCTCAAGATATGATTATTTAGTCTTTCATTATCAAACCATAGTGCTGCCATGAAATCACTGTGCATATATTATTCTATATTCTTCCCAGGTTATCTTTGGACCAAATCCAAAAAAGCAGGATTGACGGGTTACCTAAATTCATAGGTAACTGCATTATATACTGTCACATTCTCCTCCCTAAGGCATGTCTCACTTTGCACTCCCATGAACAACGCAAGACACTGCCTGTTATCCATAGCATCACCCACAGAGTGTGCTATCAAACCTGTGAACTTTTGCCAATCAGAAGAGAAACAGAAAGCCAGCTGAGGTTTAACGTGCATTTCTCTTATTATGAATAAGTTGAGTAGCTTCTCATATGTTTACGAACCATTTGCAGGGTTCAGGTTTGTTTTTTTCCAGTTTTCAGTCTGTTCGTATCTTTTGCTAACTTTTCTATCAGATAGTCATCTTCATTTCAATTTTTAATTTAGTTACACACATAAATATCCTATATAATAAAAGCCTAGGTGGTGTTGCGTGATGTCATCACAAGATGGTCACCATAATGTCATCACAAGATGGCCACCATGATGTCATCACAAGATGGCCACCCACGTCACCACAAGCTGGCTGCCACAAGATGGTCACCATAAGATGGCCAGCAGGGGGGGGCAATTGTGGGAGATCAGGCCAGCAGGGGAGGGCAGTTGGGGGCGATCAGGACTGCAGGGGAGGACAGTTGGGGGCAATCGGACCAGCAGGGGAGGGCAGTTGGGGGCAATTAGGCCGACAGGGGAACAGTTAGGCATCAATCAGGCCAACAGGGGAATGGCTAGGGGGCCATCAGACAGGCAGGCAGGCGAGCGGTTAGGAGCCAGCAGTCCCGGATTGTGACAGGGATGTCCCCCAAGGGGTCCCAGATTGGAGAGGGTGCAGGCCGGGCTTAGGGAAACCCCCCATGCACGAATTTCGTGCACTGTGCTTCTAGTACTATATATGAGAAAATATTTCTTGTCCATATTAGTTATAATATTTTTCCCCAGTTTGTCACTTTACTTTTTTATAGTTTCTTCATACTTTTTTATTCTAGGATATCAAATTTATCTACTTCTCCTCTTATTGCTTCTGGATTTTGAGTCATAATTAGAAAGTTTTCTGTACTCCCAAGTTATCAGGGAATTTACCCATATTTTCTCCTAATACACATATGGATTAACATTTAGATCTTTGATCTATTAGGAATTTATCCTGATACATCAATCTTACTGAATTTTTAAAGCAGAAGATGAAATAAGATACTACATTCTCATATCAAATTGGAAAATA